CCTGGTACCGGGAAAAAAAAAACAAAAACAACAACAACAACAACAAAAAAAAAAACCCCAAAACCCCCACAAATTTCCCATCTCCTTCTAATTTGTTAAGTGGTGAGAAAACAGAGATTATTGTTTCTATGGGCCATTTAAGTTAGCTACTAACAATTCTCCATCCGTAGGCACTTGAAAATACCAAGGAACTACATCGAGATATAAACATGCCTAAATAGCCGGGCACGGTAGTGCACACCTGTAATCCCAGCACTTAGGAGGCTGAAGCAGGAGGATCATTGTGAGTTTGAGGCCAGCCTGGGCTACAAAGTGAGTTCAAGGCCAGCCTGAACAGCATAGTGAGACCCTGTCTCAAAAAGACCAAGAATGAATAAATAAATAAATAAATAAATAAATAAATAAAATTTAAAAAAAAAAAAAAACATGCCTAAAGAAGGGGTATTGATCTGAGGGGAAGTTGGTCAGCCTGAAAGCAAAGAAAGGAGACTGCAAGAATCCCGGCCATAACTCTTTCTCTCTGTCTGGTACGGGGACCAGAGCCTTCCAGGATATCTGGCAGGTGTCCCTATTGCACAGACTCACACAGCCAACCAATGAGGCCTGATGCCATTTGTCTTTGTCCTTTTTCTTATCACTGGGATACAACACCTGACGCTCACAATTTAAAGGAGGAGAGGTTCATTTTGTCTCATGGTTTCATTCCATGGTGGGCTGGCCTCAAAGCAGGCACAGGGTGGCAGAGAGAAAGGGTGGAAGAAAGGCCGCTCAACCTATGGCAGCCAGGGTGCCCAGAGAGCCGGGAGGAGCAGGGACAAGAATACACCCTTCCATGTCACACCCACCCTCCCCAGTCACCCACCTCCAACCAGGCCCCAGCTTCTTCCTGCACACCCAGCTATGGAACTCATTTGTGGATGAATGCCCTGGTGAGTATGGTGCCCCAGGGCCCAAACACCATCTTCTACACACAAGAGCTTCAGAAGCCATCTTGGAGGTAAACTGTAATGCTGTGTACTTTGGAGTTCCAGAATGAACTTCTCAGTTAGGGTTCCAGACTTTCCAAGGTTTCTCCTGGTCATGTTGCCTTCTCATATAGCTTCCTTCCAGGAAACCAGTGTGCTGGTCCGGCTGATACGGCCTTGTGCACAGGCCTCTGTGAGTTTGAGGGTCTGAGTCAACCTCCGTAAGTGAGGTGACTTCCAGCTGGGACTGTGTTTTGAGCCAGGAGACCTCTCTGTCCAGAGGGTGGGCCTTTCACGCTGCAGAGCTGTACCCACCTCATGTCACGGGTAAGGGCAGTAAAACCCAGGTAGTTCCAGGTCTACTCCTACCTCCACTCCCTAAATCCTCATATTTCCCCACTCTCGGTATGCTCAGTATTTTTCTTCCTACTTTGCTACTACAAATTCAACCAATTTAATCCACGTTACATCATTGTGAAAATAAAAGTTTCTATCTATTGAATCTTCTGGTGCCTGACAACCCTTCAGAGAGGGCAATACTGTCCCATTTTGGGTATGGCCACAAGCTGAGAGAGCCGGGAACCCAATATTTATCTACCTCTAATTATTACTATTTTAAAACATTAAGCCATGTGTAGACACTAAGGAGACATCCCAGGAGAAGAGTACTGCATCCTCTGCATGTTTTCTGGGTTTCTTCATTCCAAAAGTGGATGATAGGGCCCTTACTTACTGAAGTAAAAATAGTAAGACTACGCCCTGGCTGAAGAAGGCAGCCTGGCAGTGGTATCTGGCTGGAAGAGAACTCTACGTGGCCCAGACACATCCCAGAGGATTCTGGCTCCCAGCTGTGACCCTGATGCAGGAAAAGGATCACCAGACGCTACACCAGGTGAGGGACATAGAACACAGAGGCATGAGTGGGCATGGATGACTGTTCTGTTTTCCATAGTGTGGATGCTGTAGGAAGAAAGTTAGAGTTGTTGTAGGGTACTGGCTTGGGAGCAGGTCTTTCAAGGGTACCTAGGGCAATGGTGCCATCTCCTTTCACCCTCCCAAACTTGCAGTTTGGTGTCTGGGCTGCTGCTCAAGGGACCAAGACAATATTCTGTCTTTGCCACCCAGGGCAGAAAAGCACAAAAGATCCTCTTAAAGATTTAGTTTCTCAGCCTGGTGCAATGGTAATCCCAGCACTCTGGGAGGTTGAGGCAGGAGGAGTACCTGAGTGACTGAGAAATACCTTGTCTCAAAATAAAAAATTTAAAAAGATCTCAGGATGTAGTTCAGTGCAAAGGTTCAGGGTTCAGCCTCCAGTACTAAGAAAGAAAAAAGTTAGTTTCTCTCTTTGCATGACTTTCTAACTCTTAAAAACCAAAACCTTCATTTCTGAATAATTTGGGAACTAGTCATTGACTTAGGAAAAATGCTTGAAAATTACGTATGTGATGATTTGTGGCAAAGTCAAGGACGGATAAATATGTGAGCCAGCTGGGCAGGCCGCAGCCTGGACTCCCTCAAAGCAATGCTAACTTGTTTAACATTTCCTTTACATAACCTTAGGACACAATGCAAATTATTTATGCTCAAAATAAGAAATTCATATCCTGTGAATATGAGTATGACGTAGCATTCTAAATTATTTGGACTTAGTTTTCCAACAGTTTAACTTTTGTTGGGGGATATGAGACAGGGTCTCCCTATGTAGTTCAGGCTGGATTTAAACTCACTATGTATGCCAGGCTGGACTCAAACTTGAGGCAATCCGCCTGCCTCAGCCTCTCAAGTGCTGGGATTACAGGCATGTGCCACCGTGCCCAGCACCAACCATTTAACTTTTAAAAAACGATCATCAATAGATAGTATTAGTCATTTACACTTAAAGAAACATAAATATAGCCATAAAGTCAAATTATGTTTAAAGATTGTTTTCTGGTTGCCCAAACTCTCCGCACTTTTCTGTGATGTGTTTTCTTTTTAGTGCTTTTTTAAAAAAGATCTTACAAGTGAGACATTTTCTTGGGACCCAAATGAAAGATTTTATATTTAGATAATATAATGAAATGCAGTGCGGCGCTCTGTGCCTTATTGAGTTTCTGAATTTTAGCTGAAGGAGACACTAACTTTGGCAGTCGGCTGACTGCTCTTGGGGTTGGAAGCACTGCCCATCATTGTGTTGCAAAAATACCATCAGAGATAGGCTGAGGCCTGGGAGTGTGTTTTAAAATGTCCATTGCAAGACACTACTTCAGGAGACATTTTGCAGTACAGTGTCTCATGAGGAGAACTAAGATAGCAGGCTATTGTTTTTAAAAAAATAATTCCAGATGTTTCATGTTCCTTATACAGTAAAAGGTAGCCTGGCTAGCCACCTCACCTGGCTCCAGGTATGGTAGGGAGCTCTGGCTTTGACTTAGGGCCACGGGCAAGATATTAGCTTCTCTAAGCTTCAGTTTCTCCCTTGTAAAATGGTGGTATTATCTTTTTATAGTTATTAATGATAATATTGAAGTTGTAATAAGACTTATTTAAAAGTATGCCGTATAGTTGGGCTTGGTGGTGTATGCTTGAAGTCCTAGCACTCAGGAGACTGAGGCAAGAGAATTGGCACCAGTTCAAGGCCAGCCTGGCAGATATAGTGAGTTCAAAGCCAGCTTCAGTTATATAATGAGACCCTGTCTCAATAGCCTTATTAACATATGGCTGCTTTGAAGAGTTAATCCTAGAGCCCAAGCCTGTTACAAAGGGTGATTTCCGAGATTAGCAAGTGTTTACTACACAGCATGTGCCATGTGATGTTGGGCAACGCCCTGCCTGTATCCTACGTGGGCCATGGCTCCCGACAGAGGCTTAGGAGTCAGGCAGACCTGGGGGGCTGCATTCTAATTCTGCTTTCTGCATCTGCCGTCTCAGAAACATTGCCTCGGAGAAACCCAAAATATAAATAATTCAAGGAGCAAGGTGGAGGAGAGGTGATAGGAAACTGGGAGACAGACTTTTTGGAGATGGGTAGAAATCTGGAGAAGCAGGGAAGGGAAAAGATGTTAAAATGATCAATATGTGGTCTCCCGCCCATATATATTCAATTCCCCGAAATGAATGAAATTATTATGTGTCACAAACCTATACTAATATTTTACAAATATATAAAAATTGCTTGCTTTGTCACAAGTATGTTTCATAAGGTTTTTTTTTTTTTTTTTTTGGTACTGGGAATCAAACTCATGACCTCAAGCTTGCCAGGCAGGCGCTTATGCCTCTAAGCTATATCCCCAGCCCCTGATAAGCACTTTTGGGCTTAAACTTATCAGGCAGAACTTAGTACTTTTATATATATATTACATCATTAAAGTCTCATAATTATCCTGTAAAGCAGGAATGAGTACAGATGAAGAAACAGGCTCTAGATAGGCTCAGCAATTTGTCTAAGGTCATACAAATACAAGTGGAAGAGCTGAGATGTGAACCCAGTCCTGCCTAACCCAGACCTTTTATTGTGAATCGTAAATTTCTAAAGGTGTACAGGGTTGAGCACCCTGAAATCATATAGGAAATATTCAACAAATAATTGCTACTATTATTTTGACATGACCTAATTGTAAACCTTTGCAGGGAGGGGTTTTAACCCATGTTCACACCCTTAGTACGAAAAGAGGCTGAGTGTGTGGAAACTATAGAATAATTTCCTTGAGAACAAGGACTCTGCCTTTGGCTTCTGGAATGCCCCACAGTATAGTACCATGCTTTCTCAAAGAGAGGGTGGGACTACCAAGAAAGCTTTTTTTTTTTTTTGTACTGGGAATTGAAGCTTTGCACTGAACTATATCCCTATCCCTCTTTATTTCTGAGACAGACTCTCATTATGTAGTTCAAACTGGTCTTGAGTTCACCATGTAGCCAAGGCTGGCCTCAAACTTGCAATGCTAGGTGGAGTTTGCAATCCTGTCTCAGACTCCCACAGTGCTGGGATTACAGGCATTGTAGCACTATGCTTGGCTTGAAGCTGCTTTTTGATGAGGTACACAGGAACACCAACCATCTAAATAAACATCCTCTTTATTTTACCAAATATAATTTATCAGTTAAGTTGACATTTGTCAATTCAGTTATAGTAACTATAAATAATTCTCTTAAGACACAGTTCTGTAACTTTTGAAGGATACAAGAGTAAACCAATATTGCTTCTTGCAGCCAGGCCAAAAGTACATGCAGTTGGTGCAATCAGGGGGAGAGAAATGAATCCTCCGTTGAAGTCACTTTCATTTTCCTTCCCTCCCTCCCATCTTCCTCTGCTCACATGCTCCGAGGCCCGGGTGTGCCCACTTCTCTGTTTTCTAGGCAAAGGAGGATGGGTGCTCCAGAGGCCTCGAGGACAGCCCGGTTGAACTCCAGAGATAGGGGAGGGCGAGTGTTGGAGAATGCTGGACCCCAGCCTCAGGGTAGGGTACCTGTACAAGAGTCTGTGTGCAGGTGTGTTCTGAGGTGGAGGAAAAGGCAAAAGGAGTCCAGAGCAGAAACAAGCTCAGGCTGATGTTAATGGACTCTGCTGGACACAACTCCAAAAATAACCTCTATGACTCCTTCCGATTCTAAGGTTCTAGATTCCCGAAGGTGGCCTGGGAGATGAAGGGAACGGATACTCCGGAGGTCTAGGGTAAGCTCCTGGGTGAAGGCATAGTGCTGATAAGGATGAGCCCATTGCTCACACCTCCCTGGGAGGTGGGCTCTGAGGGTCCAGAGGAGAGGGCTTATAGGGATGCTTCTGACAGGCTAGAAAAAGCCTGCAGCCCAATGCCTACATTCACACATGAGTGTGGCTGGCTTTCTGAGCTGTTCAGGGGGAAAGGGGAAGAGGTGGAGGCTCTGGCTTCTCCCAGTTTTGTGCTAGGCAGAGAGAAGTAGAAGCAGGCAGGTGATGTCTGGCATGCTAGCTCCAAATCCCCTTCTGGGTGTGTGAGGAGCAGAGGTGGAGGAAAGGGAAGGGGAGCAGGGCTGCTGTGGGGTTAAGCAATGGGGTTGGTGGCCTGGGCTGTGGTCAGCATTGCACAGATGGGGTCTGAAAGGAGAATTAGGCTGAATGTAGTTTGGTGAAACAGATCCAAATATGTGGAGGGAACTTTCTCTGCCAGATTGCAGGGGGGTATGTGGCCTCCAGAGGCTGGGGGATGAGGTGAGGTTAGCTGTGATTCCTTTACTCTGGCTAGTCAGGGCCTGCTCAATCCCTACACCATATCTAGTGCTCAATGACTGTTTCAGACCAGACCTGCAGAAGTGCTTATCTTGGGGAGGCTGGATTTACTGAATGAATGAAGAATGAACATTTGTGGGCAGGAGCCCAGGACAGGATACCTGACCCTTGTGGCACAGTGAAATAAGTGCTTTTAGGAAGTGACAGAGGCCAAGGTGATCATGTGATTATGTCCTCAGGAAAAACAGCAGCAACAAAACACCGCTGGTTGTCCTTGACCTCCAAGTCATACACATACCCTTCCTGTCCCCAATCTCAGGACCTCACCTAGCAGGCTCTGGGGAGGAGTGCTTAGAGACAACGAGAGAGGAGGTCTGAACAGAGACGAAAGCCTAAGGAGGAGGACAGGGACCTTGGGAAAACTATGGGTGGACATGATTCAACAGGGAGACCAGGACACCACTCATTTCTTCTCCACTGTGACATTCAAATGGAAACGAATCAGAGGGAGGGCTGGTGATGTTGACCAGGCAATCGGGCGGGGGGCGGGGGGCGGGGGGGGAGAGGCATGTGCATGAACTGAAGCTGGTCCGTGTCCCTCTGAGAGCAGCACGGCCTCGGTCCAGATGGCTGAGGAAAGGGCTGGAATTACTGAACCACTTGTCTCCTGCCCAGTGCTCTGACATTGGTCCACTTCTACAAGTGTGTGTGTGTGTGTGTGTGTGTGTGTGTGTGTAGTGTTACTTATCCCTAAGTAACAACTAAAAAAAGAACAAAGAAAACAACAAAAGCCATAGCCCACTCACAAAGGGTTTCTCATTAGGGCCAAGACTGAGGTGACTAAAGCTAAACCAAATGTCTCCAGATCTCAGACAGAAATCCCCTGCCCCAATCCACCTCACTCGGAGGCACCCACCATGAAATTGCACTTGGTGATTGTCTCAGAAACTTACTTGTACTGCTTATTTCAGTCCATCTGTCCTTCCTGAATTCTTGCTATCCAAACTTGGCTCAATGTATAAAAATTCCCATTGAAAATAATGAGAATTTGGTATCAAAGTGAAGTCCTCAAAAGATTCAAGAGTGTGGGGTGTGATAGCGGGGTAGGGGAACAAAAGAAAAAAAATTCAAATAGAAAGTGCAGAGGGACAGGGAAAAGGTTGAGTGGCCAAGTTAGTCCCCGACATCCGTGTCTCGGTCCCCAATGAGCCAGAGGACATGGAAGCTGAGTGCCAGGAGCCCAGTGCCAAGCAGGTCTCCCAGAGCAGTCAAGTAAGGGATGGAGAAGTTGTCTGGGTCCAGGCCGCGACCCCACATCCAGTGCACCATCCAGTCTGCGATGTACAGGAGAATCAGCACCTGGAGACAGAAAGCCCCTGCCTGTAGCCATCACCTCTCTGCAGGGGGAGCCAGAGGCCACAAGACTGGACCATTCAGCGTATCACAAGGCTTGGCCAGCCACAGTCCTTCAGTTGGGACAGCTTACCTTCCCACCCTGGCAACCTTTCTCTGTTCTTCCACGCTATAGTCACCAACAGGAGAAACGAGAGCTCTTTGGAGAGGAAGAAGTTGCTACTGCTGGACTCACTCTCATCAGCATTATATTCTGCTCCCGAATTCACCAAACCAGGGGCTTCCTCATCTAAATCCCACCCCCGCAGGAATTCAGCATTCTTGCTTTTAATTCTGGGCCACTCCAATTCCTGCCAGTTGGCCTCTCCAGGATCCTGGCAGGGGGCTGGCATTTGGACTCAGCTTTTCCTACAGAGATTTCTTCTCTGGGCAGAGCGGGATAAGGAGATTGTGTGAGGCTGCTGTAGGAACAGCTGTCTGAGTAAGCTAGCTTTCTCCTGACTCTTCCCATTCTGCTGTGGTCAAAGAATGCAAGGTTAACCTTTGTCCTACCAAAATAAAATTGTCTGCTATGCAGACAATGTGTAGCAATTCAAAATACACTTTGGATTGTCTGCTACTTTGATTTATCTGTACCCTTGCTTACCTTCTATTACTATAGATAATTAAGAATAATCCAGACAGAATCTTGCTAATGGGCCCAGGACCAGTAGCATTAACTATAGCAGGGGGCTTGTCAGAAATGCAGAAGTGCAGGCTCCATGCTCAACCTCCTGAGTCAGAACCTGCATTTTAACAAGAGTTATACTTTGGAATTGGTGGTATACTTGATCTAGAATCCTGTGGTGGCGCAGGCCTGTGTCTAAATGACTATGTCTGTGTGAGAATGAGATGGTTTCTAAAGGTTAAATCCAACACGGTCACCTAAGAGGTTTTATTCATTTTTGTTTGATTTTTAAAATAGGGTCTTTGCTAAGTTGCCCAGCCTGGCTTTGAACTTCAGATCCTCCTGCTTCAACTTCCCAAGCAGCTGAGATTACAAGTGCATGCCACCATGCCAGGCTGGGAAGTTTTACTCTTGACTCTACTGCAAAAATACTGCACTACGTAAAGTCTTCCCTAAGGGACCCAGATGCAGGACCAGAGCTCTTAAGAATCAGAAGCCAGAGTTGATACCTATTTTTAGGTTAACTTGGTTGCTCTCTTGTCCTCTCTCAAAAGAAGTCAAGGGTTACAGCCCCAGTACCATCCATACTCCTTTCCTCTGCATACAGCTGCCTTGTACTCTGGTGGCCCTGGCCCTGAGTGAAGTCCCCCTACCCCATTAACTTCATGCTCTTTCCAGCAGCTGCAGAAGATCCCAAAATAAAGATTGTGACCAGGGGCCCTTCAGGATGTGCCCCAGGATGAGAATGGCAGCAGCTGTGCTCACATCTAGTCTCCTGAGCACCCCCAGACACGTGGCTGGGAGGCGGCAGCAAAGGGATCAGGAAGTACTTTACAGGGGATCAAGTGTCACACTCTGCTCCTCCACAGATCTAGAGGAGACATCAGTGGACAGAGTGTCCTCTCAGGCATTCATGACAGGCAATGCAGCCAAGGCTTCTCCTTTTAACCTAGGCCAAGGGATGAGCCGAAAACCTGCACTACACAGACTTGGCACCCCCACTTCCCAAGGGGGTTGCACTTGACCCCACTTGCAAGGGAACCTGGCAACTTAGGTAAATGCTGCTAGGCAACAGCATATGGTTGATTCTCAGTCAGCCCTTGCTGTGATTCCTAACACACAACCATTCTATGGTTGGGGGTGGAGGGCCTGGAGGGATAAAGGTTTATTAATAGAAGATATAAACCGTAGTAATAGGCTGAATGGATTACCTAGTGCAGTGGTTCTGACATCTTTGCATCATGGAACGTTTTACTTAAATGAAGCCCAGCATGCTAAACACAGACAAGCAGAGCTCTGTGGCAGGCCAGTGGGGGTGATGGCCAAAACCCACCTGCTGAGCATCCTACTACCATCTGTGTGAACTACCACCTCTGCTCCACTCCTCTCAATTTTCAGATGTACTGAGGCTCAGAGAAGAGAAACAACTGTATTAAAGTCACATAGCATATGAGTGAGTTTGCTGGGGCTACACACAGTCTATTCTCAACCTCTGTCCAGTGGTTACTGGCAGCTCAGGTCCAGAGGAAGAGGTGGGGTCTAATGGCCAAGTCGGGACATCTTCTCCCATCCATGCAGGAGAGTTCCCGCCCCTCCCTGTGCCCGCTGGGCCTGGACCATACCTGGAGCAGTGCAGCTGTCATGTAGAAGATGATGAAGATGAGCGTGAGGGTGGTGTGCCCGCCCTGCATACAGCTGATGGTATAGAGGAATACCAGGTGTCCTGGGACCACGAGAAGGAAGAGGACCCGGGCCGAGCGGGAATTTACATCTGGGATTGGGGGACAGAATGTGAGGAGGACAGGGAGAGGAGTCCTGGCCCAAGAAGGTCATGGTTAGGGGGCTCACACCATATTCCAGGGCTGCAGACACTCACTGTCCCTATCTTTCCATCCCTGGTCCCCCACTACCAGGACATCCCAGGAAAAGACAACTTTCCTGCCTGGGCTCTAACATCTGGAGCAGCTGGCAGAGCCAAGCACAGGAGAACCTTGGACCTGAGCCCCAGCAGTTTCTTCTTCCAGGGCTGCAACTGGTCTGGGAGGCTGAGAACCCGTCATTACCAGGACTGAAGAAAGTGGTGCAAGGACTGGGGCAGCGGCGAGGAGCTTGCTCAGAGTTCTCTCCAGGCATCCCATTCATGTGCAGGAAGGTGGAGATGCGGCTGGCCTGCACTGCCACCAGATTTCCCCCAACACCTGCGGAGACATACAGGACTCAGACTCAGGGCAGTGAGGAGTTGGGTGAAATGATCTCCTGCTCTTTTTCTTTTACCTGTACAGCCATTCTCCTCTGTCTTCATTTATGCTCAGTCTCAAGTCCCCAAGGGAAGAATGAGACACTACGAAAGGAGTTTCCCAGATTCCTGTCTTCCCTTCTATGGCATGACTGTGAGAGTGCAGGAAGGACACAGATCACCAGCTCTGGTCCCTGTTCTTCATGGCACGTGTATCACTGAGGCTCCACTCCACTTGTCTAGTGGATCTGCAGGCTCAGAGCCTGCCAACCTACTACTACTATGGTGTACGAATGGCACAGTGGACAAGGCCCTGCCTGCCTCCTCTGCTCTATAGCTCTGAGCGCTCAGTCACCCAGTGCTCATGTGCTGCTGCTTCTGGTAGCCAGTTTCAAGTAGCAGGCTTGAGCTCCAAGCTCTGGAATCAGGTCTGAAACTGTACTGGTTACTCTGCCTACTTTCTGCTCTGTTGAGCCTTGCCCTGAGCCTGGGAGGCCGATTTCTCCAAGGTCAGGTCTATGCAGTAGGAGGCAGCAGCAGGTGATCAGAGGCTGTGAGAGAGTGGTCAGGGGCTTGCCCCTGGTGGGAACAGAGGGGAACTCTCACTGAGCTTCTGCAACACAATTTCCAGGTCTCCTGGTCCCTAAGGACTAAGGTTTCCACTGTTGCTAATTGCTGGGTATCCCAACATCCCTTTTCCGTCCTTTTGCCCTGCTCCCACCTTGTGAGCATTCCCTTCATGAAAATCTTAAGCTCTGAGCTGGATTTTCCTGTTGGAACAAAAGGCAGCCCCCCAAGTACTCCTCTTCTCCCCACCCCTTTTTTTTTCCCCTGGCAGCTGATGCCAGGACCTTACCATTAATCACAGGTGTGAAGACAGCCATCCCTGCAAAGTTGGGGTTCGAGACAGTCTTGTCTAGGATGAGGCCTCCCACACTAGAGACACAAAGACAATATGATGCAAAGACTGCTGAAGAATTCTCTGCTGGTCTTTGGGATGAGAGGCACAGGCCCACCCAGTCTTGGGGACAAAGAGAGGCCTGGTGGCTTCCTCAGCTTTCAGTTCTGCCCAAACCAGTTGCTCTTGACGTGGCAAAGTGACCCAGGGCCAGCTGGTGCTGCCAGGTCAGGCAGCCACCTCCCGTGCTCACTCTCCGAGTGGCCTGGAGGAGCTGCCCACAGGACTCCCTGTCCATGATGACCTCTGGCATTCCGTCTCTTAGGCATTCATTTCCCTTTCTGGTACCAGCACTGGGCTCCTTCTCAGGAAACCACCTCTGTTAAATTCAGGCACTCTGGTCCAGACGATACTGCTTCAATGATGGCGAGGCTCCAGACTATCCAATTAAGAGTACTGCATGACCAAAGCCACAGTGACTGGCTTGGGGAATGACATGTGACCAGATGAGAACCAATGAAACTCTATTCTGAGACTTTGTGGAACTGGTGAAGAATCCCTCTGTTCCCACTGGAATTGGGAGGTCAGCAAAGTGTGAGCCTAGAGTGTAGGCCACCACAGAGAAAAGCAGAGCAGACAGATGGCGAGTCTTGGGGTCCTGATAATAATGTCTGTGTTCCTGAATCCAGCTGTGCTTTTTTTGTTTCCTAGGCCAATACACGGTGCTTTGGAATGAAACTCAATTCAGATAGTTCCTGTCACTTGCAACAGAAGGACATGTAGCTGACACACTATTAGATGCATTACTAGTGTCTGCTCTGGCCCTCTCCAGGATTCAAAATGGAGTCTATGGCAGGGTGGGAATGAGGTGAGGGGTGCGTACTCAGGGCACAGCCTACCTGCTGATGGCCATGGCAATGATGACAGGCTCCCAGCCCGAATACAACACCTCCCTTGTGGCTGGGCTTCGTCGTGCCAGCACCACCCAGACAGGCAGCAGGGCCACGAAGAAGGCACACACCAAGGGGTAGATGTATCGCCAGTGATCTAAGGGGGCAAAGAGCAGAAGGGGATGAACAACGTGCTTCCCTGCACCAACCTCCCCAACTCAGCCTGCAAGGGCCCCAGCAGACCGACAGCAATACTACACTGCATGCCTGTCAACACACTGCCTCATTTGTTTGTTGCTACAGGTCAAGGAGGTAAATGGGGCCAGCCAAGTCCATTTTGTAGAGGAGGACATAAGGTAGAGAGAGCTTGGCACTAAACTTATTAGGGGCAGAGACTGGACTTTAGGTCTCTTGATTTGACCCCAGCAATCACTATCTCCCACACCTTCTTTAGTTTGCAAGCAGATTCCAGCCCCCAGCTCCTTTCCTTTACCCTTCCTGCCTCACTCCTCCAAGGGAAGCAAGATCCACAGGACCAGGCAGAAATACATGTATGAAACGCCCCCAGGACCCCTGGCCCTGGTGCTGGCATGGGTCTGAAATCAGTACTTAGCCTCTCCTCTGTAAGATCACATGTTAGGACAAACTGTTCATACTAAATGATTAAGAGCATAGAAAAACATCCTTGCACATCTGCAAAATGACCACTGTTCCTTGCAGTTCTACCCTAGAGTCCACCCAAGCCACTCCTGGTGGCCTCAGTCTCACTCAGTTCCAAGTAGAGTCCCCAGCTGATGCCCGAGAGCAGTGCCAAGGTGATGAGGTCGCCCAGGCTGGCAGCAATGGGTGTGGCCACATTGTCTGGGTTGATCCCAATCTTCCGAGAGCCAATGATGACTCCAATCATGATCATACCTGGTGAGAAGAGAAGCGATCAAGGGGCACCTACAAACAAAAGCAGAGAGCAAAGGGGCCAGGCACGGCCCACACCTTCGGGGTATCCCTCCTTACTGTAGTGCCCTTTCCCTCCTTACCCAGCACCAGGGAGGCAATGAAGGCTGTGGCCACACTGCTGGCACACAGCAGGAAGGCATGTGGGATACTGAAGTGGCCATCGGGTATCCAGCCAAAGATGACGGCGGCAATGGATGCCAAGAAGCCCACAACCGTGGCCTGCACCTGAGGAGAGGCGTGGTGATGTGCAGAGCCCGGGAGCAGAGAGCTTCCTAGCTGAGGTCACTGAGCCCTCGGCAGCCCCAGGAGACACGCTGGATAGGGCTGTCCAGTTCTCTCAGGCTGGAAGGATGTCTTTATTTATTTAGTTTCACACCAGACACTAGTACTGGGCAGTACACCCTGCAGGAGCCCAAGACATATTACTGGCTGAATGAGCAGTCCTCTGGGGATGGGGGTCAGAGTCATGACCTGGGACTCTTGTGGAAAGATGCCGAATCTGGGACTTGTGTGGCCTCCTGGGGAGATGGGGCAATAGTTAAAGACACTTCAGCACTCTGCTCCTATTGCGGGGATCTATGAGGGCTCAAAGGCCTCCCCCCACATGGGACCTAGAATGGGCCATCTTAGCCATTACCTTGGTTACCTCCCAGAGCTGCTTTGCAGGATGCAAGAGATTCACTCAGCCCTGCACCAGCCTTTTAGAGATCCTGACTAAGAGGGAAGCTTAGTCTACCCCTGTCCTTGCTATCTTACCTGGATGAGGGCCATGTTCCCAGTGATCATCCGCCAGAGCTCCTTGGGTGTATCCATTTGTCCAATGTTGGCCTGGGAAAGGGAGTGAGGGGGCTGTAGCTCCAGGCTGGAAAAGGCCTGGGGCGAAACTGTTAGATCTCTGCCTGGATTAAGAGGCAGTACAAGTGCCTAAAACTCAGGAACCAGGACACAAAAGTTCCAAAGGAGTGAAGTAGGATCAGGGGCTCGGGGTGGGAGGGAAGGAGCTAAAAAGTCTGAGCTCCTGCATCTGGAAGGGGCTCAGAAGGGGGCTCCTAAGGCAGCTGCGTCTCTCTTCCTCCCAGGATGGAGGGGAAGCACCAGGTTCCATCCTTTGTCTTACTTGTCTGGCCAGCCCACCTCTGCATGGGTCAGATCAACTCAACCTCTGGCCCTGAACCCTGCTTGCCATCCTAGGGAAGGAGAAATCAGTGGCTCGTTCATGTGTGAGAGTGTTTGGGGAGGCTGGCTGGCATGGGCAGGAACAGGGTAGAGCATGTTGGGGTGAGTGAGGCTGGTTGCCCTTTCTCCAGACTCTTGGCCAGGCAGGGATATCTTTGTCCTCTTGAGTTTTACCGCCTCCCATCTCCCACTCCACGGCCCTAGATCTGGGTCAGTCCTTGCAAGGTCATGGACGGTCTGAGTTGTGGGGGTTGGGACTGGCGAGCAGCACCTCCCCGTCTATTCCCTTAGGGAACAAGCTTCCACAGGACAGAACAGCTGGGAGGGGGCTGGGAGGGCCTGGCTCTGCTCCTACCCAGCTGCAGAGTAGGGCTGGAGATCAGAGAAGGCCCCCACCTGTGCTGGTGGAGGGACCAGCATGAAGCCTGCCTGTCAAAGCTGCACAAACAGTCACGAGGCAGGTTTCGAAGCAGGGGATGGGGCAGGCATCCAGGGATGGCTGGGACATCCAGAAACGGAGCCTGGGAACCACTTTGGGCAGGGAGCTCCTGCCCACAAGCAGGACGCTCAGTCTGGGATCTCCCTACACCTGCCCAGCGGGGGCTCTCCCCTCTCTCTGGCCCTATGCTCCAGGTCTGAGCAGCTGAGTAACCATCTCCCAGTTTTGGCTCTGTGCTAAGCCCTAAGTCTGCTCTGTGGCCCCTCCCCCCAGCCAGGACACTCACTGCGGTGGACAGCCTTGACGCCAGAGTCATTTCCAGATTTCCCTTGAGCCCCAGGAGCGCCGGCACCAGGATGAAGACCTCTGTCACCTTCTGGAAGACCTCCCAGTGCTACGAGGTGAAAATAAAGCCCAGGAATTTCAGTGCCCCAAAGGGCTGGCATTGGGACTGCTTGGACAGTGCAGGGTCAGGGGCTCAAGGAGGAAACAGATCAGCAGGGAGTGAGCACACCAGCCTCCTCTCCTCCAGGGGCCTTGGAAGCAATGCAAGACCATAGTTTCCAAACACAGTCCTCCTTCCTGGCCCTGGCATAGCAGAGACCCCTAGCCTCGCTCATGCTGAGCCACCCAACCTGGCTGAGAACTCCTTTACGATTCCCCTTCAAATCACACCCCCAGCAGCCCCTTTGCCTTTAGTCCAGGTTCTCTGTGGCCTCGGCCTTGGGTGGTGTTGTCTCAGCTGTGGAGAGCTGGGCTCCACAGGGCTGGGACTGGGAGATTAGAGCATTTGTTTGGTTTCTATCTGCACAGGCTTTGGGCCTCAGCCATAGCGACTCTCCTGAGCAAGTTCTGAGTTCAGACCGTGTCCCAGGCTGGAGAAGGCCTGGTCCGCAAGGGGTTTTTTGTTCCTCCTCTGCATTCCCTCTCACCCCACATCCTTCCCAACCCCTAAGCAAGCACAAGAAAGTACACCCCTGCAGGAAAATCCCTGGCCTGTAGTCATAGGCTCTAGTCTCTGTATGCGAGGAGATGGAGACACTGGTTAATGCTAAGAGGGAAAAAGGCAGGAGCCAGGATTGGTAATTTAAAAGCCCCTCTGGTCAAAATGGAAACTGAGGACTTAAAAGAAAAAGCTGGGGTTGTGTAGTTTCCCTGGCCCTGTTAGGCAATGTGGCTTCCTTTTTTTGTTCCTTTGTTTTAAGAATGGAAAACCTCCAGGTTCCAAGAGGAAGGAGGGGCCGGGAGCAGGGCAGAGGCAGGCAGCTCGTTCTGGAGGCAAAGTGCTATAAGGAGCCCGGGCACTGGACTGAGATGGGAGACAGGGCCTCATACTATTCCTAACAGACCTCTTCACATAGAACAGCTGGGACCCCGGACAAGTTACCAAGCTCTCACACTGCTGGCCAAAACCGTCATCCTGGGGTCACAGAGTCTCTAACGGCAATTCCAGCACTGCTGTTCTATTGCTAAAGATGAGCAAGGGTGCAAACCAAAGCTACCATGAGATGTCACCTCACACCCATTAGAATGGCTATTAGAAAATAAGCAAACAAGCAAACAAATAGAAAACAAGTGTTGGCGAGGGGTATGGAGACAAGAGCCCTTGTGCAGTGCACTGTGAGTGGGACTGTAAGTGTTGTAACTACTATGAAAAACAGTATGGAATTCCCTCAAAAAGTAAAAATAGAATTGCCACATGACCTAGTAATCCTACCTTTGGGTACCCACCCAAAAGAACCGAAGGCAAGGTCTTGAAGAGATGTTTGAACTCCAATGTTTATAGTGGCACTATTCACAATAACGAAGGAGTGGAAGCAACCTAGGTGCCCATCAGCTGATGAACAGATAAATAAAATGTGGTCTATCTATACAATGGAATATTACTCAGCCTTAAAAGTGAAAGACATCTTGTCATATGCAATGACATGGATGAATCTTAAGGGCATACTGGTTAATGTGGAGTCAGTCATGCCAGTCACAAAAAGACAAGCATTGTATTGTGTGATTTCATACATATGAATTATGTTTATGTAGTCCAATTCTGGGACCTGGGAGGGGAAAGAGGTCAGTGTTTCATGGGTATAGCTTCTGCTGGGGAAGATGACAAAGTTCTCAAGATTTGTTGTATAATACTATGAAGATACTTAACACACAATAAAACTTTTTTAATGGGAAATTTTGTTATGCATGTGTGGTTTTTTTTTTTACTACAATTAAAGAGACAGATAAACAAGACCATTCAAGGGGGCCTGAGCAAGGGCCAAGGATGCAAGAAGGCTAGACACTGGGTAGTACCATAAGGAAAGGGCCTTCTTTTCTCACCCAAGTTTCTGGTGTGTGCATAGGCACATATGCTTGTGCAGCAGGCCCTAACATGACCCCAGGGAAGGGCTCATTTCATCAAGGCTGCAGCATATACTTGTCTCAGCTCCTGGACTTAGAATCCTTCTTAGGATCCCTACACCATCTAGAACTTCCCTTGGAGACGCCTCTCTGGTAACTGCGGAGAGGAGGATGTGCCCCCTCCAAAGCAGTGCCAGAGCTTTCAGGCAGCCCCAGTAAGAGCCTGCCCCTCCTAACCTCTACAGCAGCCCCACTGAGCCCGTGGGCCTTGCGGGAGTGTGGAGACATCCACTCAGACACTGATGCCTACCCCAGGGCTCCAGCTCCCAGCAGTCTCAGCCGCTTTTGGCTTTGTCTTGTCCTTCCTCCCAAACTGGACTGGAGCTCCAGACAAGTGGAGCGTCCCTTCCTCTCTCCAACTGATGGGGATGCCAACCGTGAGGTCCTGAAGGTCCCGAGAGCACAGTGCATAGCCAGCCCAAACTGTATGTCCCAGATGCTCCAAGCTACAGCCCTGTGCAAGCAAACCTGGCTCTCCAGGCAGGTGAATGTAATGGGCATGTGCTGACAGAGACAGAGCCCAAAGAAAACATTCCAAGTGTATGCAATGAATTTTCTAAATTGTTTTTAAGGACTATTGCTTGTTTCTATTATTAAGGGGAAAAAAAAATATCAAGCTCAGCTAAGCCCCTCTGGCTGCCACTATAAGCACACCCGAATCACTCCATCTCCCAGCACACACGCACACTCTATTTTTTAATGGCAGGAGGACTGGGGTGTAGGGGTTTCTGGGGGATGAGCTGAGACAGACAGGTGAGGGAGTGAGCAGGCTCACTGTGACCCCTGGGTCCCTGAGCAAGCCTTCTGGAACCTGAGAATACAGCCCAAACTCACAATGCCTGACCTCAGCCCAGCAAAGCCCCAGCTGGCACTTGGGCCACAGCAGTTGATTCCTATACTCATTTTTCCTTCACTCACAAAATGGTCTCAAAGATGCAGCCCAGGCAAGGAGGCTGACACGCAGGGCCTCACAGGGCTCTGGAAGGAGGTCTCGGGAGGCTGGTGACAGGAAGACAGGGTGATCCTGAGATCAGGAGTGGGGAGGATGAGGCAGGGGTAGACAGTGAGTACGTCTTTTTTCTTCTTTGGACACATTCAGGCCCATCCTGTTCATCCTGGCTGGGAGTGTCTTTCCCTGAAGTCAAACCAGTCAGCCAAGCCACTGGCCTAGCTGCCACCCACAACTTCCTGCTCTGCTGGGATAGAAAAGGGTCCAGGAAGCCCTACACTGCACCCAGTGTGTGTGTTTACAGATTTTCACTGCTTCTCAGAATTGCAGTCCTTCTTTCTTTCTTTTTGGAGTGCGTGGCTCATTAGTTCCTGATATTCTGAAGCGAGGGATAAAACTGTTCCCTTCACACTCAAAACACACCCTAATTCACAGTAATCACCCTAAGTTTCAGACCTCAGTGGTCCTTCTGGTACCTCTTGCCTGTATATCCAACCCCCTCTTCCATCCTGCACCTCTGGTGGCCTCATACACTGATTCCCACCTGCCTTCAGGCTGAGCCTTCTGTTCCAGGAGGGAAGTGGCAGGGAAGAAAGTGACACCCAGGAAAAGACAGTAAATTCCCAGGTGCAAGCTCTAGACAACAGGCTCTGAGCAGTCCTGGGAAGCACGGCTGGAGTGGACTTTTCAGGGTGAGCCTGTGTCAGATCAGATCACAGATCACAGTACCCTGGCCTGCATCTGTGAGCTTTCCCCAGAGGCAACACCTGAGTGTACAGGGCTGTACAAAATCTGAGAAAAGCAAATGGGATCCTAAGAACACATGGGAGGCAGCAATGGTCAAAGCAGAAGGGTGGTCAAGGGAGACAGGATCTGAGTGTCCTGCTCAGGAATGGAGCGGCTGCAAGAGCAGGCCAGTAGCAAAAGGACTGCTTCTGCAAGGCCACGCTGCCTCAGTAGCTCTTCTGTATACACAGAGAAAGGGGGTCTGAGGAGAAAGCCTACTTAGTGAGGACCTGGGAGACCCCCTATCCTAATGCAGCAGGGGATTTTTATGGGGGTTGTACCTCCTGCCACCCCCATTACTCACAAAGGCTGGCCATAGAAGGGAGTGAGATGTCAGGGATCAGGCACAAAGCATCATGGTGTGGGGTCTTCATTCGACCCCCTATCCACTTTCAGTACTGGGGATTGAAGCCAGGGCCTTCACGTTGAACCAGTCTCTCTCTCTTTTTTTTTTCTTGGAGATAGGGTCTTACTAAGTTTCTTAAGTTACCCAGGCCGAGCTCAAACTTACGATCCTCCTGCCTCAGCCTCCCAGAGCATCCCCTTCTGAAGCCAACATTAGGTCCAAGGCTGTTTCTCTCCCAAATGCCAGAGGAAATTTGGCCATGATGGGCAAGCCAGAGCCAATGGAGCCCATTTATCCTTCTGCTACTCTGGTGAGCACCCCAGCTCCTTATTTCACTGCAGAGGCTCCTGTGCACGTGGAAAGGAGAGGACATAAGAAGAGACAGAAATAGGTCTTCCAGGAAGAGACTAGGTTTTCAGTGCAGCTTCAGACACCTGAACTGGGCCCACACAGACATGCTCAGCTGCTCTGACACAAGGGCCTCTATGGCTACCTCCTCCAGGTGGCTCCTGTCTCTTAGGAACTTTCAGCCTCTGTCTCACTGAAGGCCATTTTAAAGGAAGCATACCGGTATGAATCCTTAGAAATCACCCTGCGCCTCCTGCATCTGAGGTCATTGGTCACTCTTTTCCCTCTCTTGGATGTGGGATAAGAATCTTCCTGTGGTACATGTTCCAATCCTCCTGCACCCACCCCTACCTGAGATCTTGCTACAGCCATCTGCAGGCCTTGCCCTGCCCAGCTGTGGTAGGAAGGCTGGGGCGGGGGTAATAAGGACAAATCAGCCATTGTCACCCACACTAACTAGATCATTGCTTGGGTGAGCTGAGGTGCTACACTGAGGGCAAATGCCAGCCTCTGTGGGCACACTGGGGACTCAGAGGTGCCCTGCAGCCTAGATCCTCAGTGTCTTAGGCTCACAGGCATGGGGTAAGATGTCGGAAGTCTCTTCAGCTCTGGGGGGGCCTGTGATGTGTAGTAGGGGTGGGAGGGTGGATGGCTTGCTGCCCGCCTCTAGAATTTCTGTTCTTGTTCACCTCAGAAGCTAACTCCACTCGTTCTGTATCTCAGTAATCCTGTTCTTCAGGGAAAGACAAAGACAGCAGGCTTCTCACAGACTTCAACCAACTGGCAAACTATGGGCACGCTGAGGTCATGGAGGTTAGTAGGACAGGCTCTGGGGACAGATGACCAGAGGCAAGTTATCGCATCTGTTTTCCTAACTACAAAATGGAGACGATATGTTTCTTACCTCACAGGCCTACAGAAAAGCCCCCAAAATGCTCCTCAGAAAAGAACTCCCCTCAATTCATCACTGGGCCCTAGCTCTCTACCCTCCCCCCTCTTTTTTGAGGCCTAGGATTTGAACTCTGGGCCTTGTACATGCTAGGCAAGTTCTCTACCACTGAGCCACACCCCCTACCCTGCATCCCCCACCATGGGCACCAATCTAGAACTTAAAAACTTTAAGAATAAGAAAATGAAGGCCACAGGAAAGGGATAGAAGAGGTGGAAAAGGGTAACCCCAGTCTCATTCTCTTCTCTTCCTCCTGCCCTAGGAGAGGGGCAGCCCCTAGGGGAAGAATCCAAAATTAGGCTGGCTTCCTAACCTCCATATAGAAATAACCCTCACAATAACACGTCTGGGGAGAGGGGAGGCAGTATCAGGCACTTTGGCATGACACAAACCCATTCGAATTAGCAAACAAAGGTGCAGGGTCCTCCTGAAAGGCTCAAGGTCTATGTAGGCACCTACAATCAACCACCTACATCCTCCTAGGAAATGGGCACAGGGAGCTCTAATTGCAGTCACTACAATGCCTCATGTATGGTCTGTAGTGTTGCCTTGGCATGGGGAAGGTGATACCAGGCTTCATGTCCTTCTGGGAGATGTCACAGTCAGGGAATACTGGGGGTCCCCAAAGGCATAAGCCAGATCTCATCCTGCTTCTATATTTCCCCGAATACCCAGGACAAAGCTAGCACCTGGAAGGAACTTCATATACACTGCTGATTAACTTAGATAAACCTGGCACCTTCAGAAGACTCTCTGTGCCTTACTACACAGACTTCAAAAAAGTTTACCTAGAAACAAGAGGTTAGCTTCCCAACCTGGAGGTCCCAGTTGGAGAGCCCTAAGTCACAACACGCTCAACAGAGCGTGTTCCTGGCTCTGGACTCCCACGTCCTGCCAGCTCTTACCCTTCTTTCTACCTGGGACCCTCTTTGCCCAGGACAGCTTGATAACAGACAGGTAAGGGGCAAATAGGAGTCATAGTTTTGCCTTCTGCCCAGGCCTGCTTGCATTTTGTTCCCATTTATGGCCATAATCAGCTCTTTTAGGTCTTATTACGCCAACTCCCCACATCATGCATCAGACAGCATGTGCCCACCCCTACTCCCCAAGTAGACTGTGCCAAGACTTCAAGAAGATAAGCAACACAAAATGCCTTTAAAAGCTTTTTCACTTCATCTGAGACCCTCTTGGCAGAGGAACAAATTCCTGCCCAGCAGGGGAATGGAGGAGAGACTTGAAACCGAACTTTCTACCGTGGGTATCCTTGAAACCCCATGTAAAGGGGAAGAACAAAGGCAGGAGGAGACCAATATAGAAGTCTCCTACTGAGTGCAACACTGAGGAAGCACGGTGAGCCACAGCCTCATCCCCTCTCCTCCTCTAGCCCGAACTCTGGGGCCAATTCTGTTAATGTTAAGCAATACCACTGCTCCATCACCTCCCTGGGGCTACTGGGCTTCTTCGAGGATTCTGTAGAAAGTGATCCAAAGGGAAACAGTATTCTAGGAAGCAGCAGCTGCTTCCGATGGAGTGGGGAGGAAGTTCTGTGGACTGCAGTCCCCCAGGAAGTTCACAGGCCAGCGCCCTCCCCAGGTCCTACCTGCACGATGTCCAGCACCATGCCGGCAGCCACAGTCCCGAAGCCTGCCAGGAGGAAGGGGAACAGCACTTGCAGCCCGATGGAAAAGGAAGTCTCCTTGAGAGGGGAGGGTGGTGCAGGGCCGCGGTCCGTACTGACATCGTCACTTTCATTGCTCTGGCTCCCGTTCTCCAGCAGGGCGTCCTCCTCCCGAACCCCCTTGGCGTTGGCCCGAGACTCAATCACCACCACCTCCTCCCCAGCCCCATCAGGCCCCAGGAACTCTGAGGTCCCAGCCAAGGGCTCGCGCCCGGGGCCATCTGAAGAACAGGGAGAGGGAGTAGGGCCAATCCCGTTCAGCTGGTGGACGTCCTTTGGCTCCAGCTTAGAGGACATGACGGGCAGGGAGGAGAGGAGAGGAGCACTTTCTTTTCCCACTTTCTCCCCTTCTCTCTCTCTTTCTCTAACTCGGGAAAGAACTTAGTCTTGGGGTGAACCCAGGCTTGTCCTGCGGCTCTCCGCTCCTACCAGGCACTGCAAAAATTGATCCACCAACAGGCAGCCCCATCAAGCAATGCAGCCTAAGCCGGAGGGAAACAAGAAACTCCTCACTAGACGCGGACACCTGCCACTAGTGGTGCAGATTCCTGCCTGGGGTTGTCCTAGGTTGTGCTTGGGGAAATCGGCCTGTTCTCTTATCTTCTTTGGTTCTCAGCAGCAGGCTCCACAGAGCAAGAGGCATCCAGAGAAGGGCCCAACCCAAGTTTGGAGTGACCCCTGAGGCGGGCCCTCTCTGGTGAAAAGTAGACTGAGTTCAGATCTTTTGGAACTGGAGCTGGGGCTCCTTCCCACTCCTCTTGCTGGGTTCTGTCAGCAGCGCCTCAAGCTCGGCTGGTCCCAGGGCTGTGTCTGCTGTCTTTCCCCTCTCTTCCCAAGATCTCCTCCCTTCCTGGGAAGACCTGGTACCTCCCCAATTGCCTGGTCCTTAAAGTCAGGAGAATCTGTGTGGAACACCTGATGTGGGAAGAAGAAAAAAGAGAGAATGTTACTGTTACCATACTGCAAGGAACAACTGCTGCTGACATAATTCTTCCCCAGGGCAGTTAGCAGTTAGTTACAGAATTTGCTATCTGACTCCTTCTTTTCCCTAAAATTACTTATCCTGCACTGCTACCTGTATACTGGAGGCTGAGCAGGTGCTATTCACACAGTCTTCCCAACCAGCAACCCACTGCACCCCAGGAAAATCCTAAGAGCCCCCCACCCCAGCACCGTCTTCCCTGCAGCAAGGGGTGGGCAGGGCTGTCTTCAGAGAAGGCTGTTCTTGAACCCCACTAAGAGCTCAGGATTATTTAAGTGTGAACTCTACTTTTTTGTTGGTGTTTGTTTTTTTTTTCCGGTACCAGGAATTGAACTCATGACCTTGCACTTGCCAGACAGGTGCTGTGCCTCTCAGCTAAATCCCCAGCCCCTAAGTGTGAACTCTAAACGGGGGTACGTTACAAGTGCAGTTGCAAACTCCCCACACAGCCACTCCACCACAGAAAGTGACTGTTTAATCATCCCAGGACAGCAACAGCATGACAGCTGCACAGGGCAAATAAACAGGGAGGCTCTGGCCACTGAGTGAAGACCCCCAGACCCCCAAACACCCTAGCCCTGGAGAAGAAGGAAACTAAGAGGACTCCCAGGCAGTGGGGCAAGCCTGCCAAACCAAGGCCAAGAGCCAGAGGCCTGCCCACTCCTGCCCTTGAGAGTCAACAGTGCTACAAAAAGCTCAGACGCTGACTTGGGCCCAGGACTCCCTCTACTTCTCTCTCCCTGTGCTTGGCCTTGCCAGTTGTCAGATAGGACGAGGCAGTTATCTCCATTTGAAAGGACAGAGGGTTAAACTCTCGGTTATTACCCACACATTTCAGTAGCCTCGGTTCCTCCTGTCCCCAGGGTTACTGAGCATTGGATATAGTGGAATTCTTAAGAACAAAAACAAAAAACTGAAAGTATCAAGGAAAGAGAGAGAGACAGAGAGTAAGAGAGAGAGAGAGAGGAACAAAGCAAAACAAAACCCTCAAGCATCCTAAGGTAATATGCACTTGCCCCCAAATCATCTCTCTGGCTGTCACGGACCCCCTTTTCTTTGCCTAAAGGAACCCCCAGGCCTCCATCCCACCTTGTTCCTTTTTACCAGAATGGCTCTCACAAGAAAAAAAATTTTTTTTAAGAAGAGGGTTTCTGCAGGTAATGAACAAGCCTTTAAGTATTCCAAACACTCAATTAGTCAACTGCAGTTCGGGAAAGGTTGAATCAAATCCCAGGAATTGGCCCAAGGGAACTGTTTCTTTTTCCTGTCAACTCGGTTACCAGCCACGATCCTCTCCCATCTCCTCGCGGCACCGTGGTTCTCTTAAAGATCCTCGCCACAGGGTCAGGAGGAAAGCCCCGAGTCCAGTGCCCGTATGCCAGAAAAGTTTCTGAGTCTGCTAAAACCTGACACCCCCGCTCTCTTCGGTCCTCCGGCAGCCACTTAACCTGAAAGGGGGCTCCCGGGACCGACGGCCGGCGGCGCACCCACTCCCCCAGCGCGGACACTTCCGATGGGCCTCAAGGCCTTGGGGCACCCCATCCCCGCCTCCCAGGCGGGGACAGAGAAGCCCCCTTTCGTCACCCCACTGGCGGAGGGGGAGAAGTAACTGGGTGGCCTCGGCCGTCTCTCCACGCTCAGATTCAGCAAATGCGCAGCGCGCCAGGTCCCCCGCCCCCAGGCCCACCCCACTGACCTGCCCCTCGCGTGGGAGGAAGGGGGCGCCTGGCGAGCGGCAGCAGGGGCCCGTGGTCTCGGGAGGTGACGGGTACCCCCTCTTCTCATCACTCCTCCTCCTCGGCAGTCGTCCTCGGCCCCCGCGTGCCCCCCACACCCCCCAGCCGAGGCGAGCGTCCAGCCGCAACACCCGGCTCGCTACATCTCGCTGGAACGTTACAGCGAGGCCGCAGCCCGGCTTTCACGAGTGCGAGGCGGCCGGGAAGGCAGGATATAGCGCCCCGGGCGGTGGGGGGTACTCGGACGAGGGACCCGGAGCCGAGCTCACTCGCCCCCAATCGCTTCTTGCCGGCGGACTTGGGCCCGACTGGTTGGCTGCCGGTGGCAAACGTGATCTGGGGCAGACTGGGTGGTACCCCCCCTTCCCTCAAAAATAGATTCCGGATGGACAGCTACGGCAGCCAATCGGGAGCCAGGGAGGGGCGAGCCCTGCCTCTGCCCCCGCCCCTTTCCTTCGCTTTGTGCGCTGAAGGCGGGGCGCCGGGGAGACGCAGGACTAGGAGTGCCGGGAACTGGAGCCCGCTCTGTGGGTCGAGGGCTCGCGGGTCCCAGCGCCCATCGGTCGGCGGATGGCCCCAAATGCCCTCCGCCCTCGCTCTTGCTCCGCCGCGCCTGGGCTTCCGTGGCCTTTGAGAGGCCCGCGCTCCGGTGCTCTCGTACTCCGCATCTTGAGCGTGTCTTCTGCGCCTCTGGCCCTCCGAGAGACCGGCGAGCATCGCAGCTCCGCGGCCGGCCAGCTGGAGCCTGCGCTCGGTACCTGGACCCGACCCTGCCTACCTTGTCCTCGGACCCGGTTCCGTGTTCTTTCCGTCGCTCGACGCTTCACGCTTCCGCCAGGTCCCGAGTTCCTCTAAGCAAATGGCTCAGCCCTGAACCGATCCGGCCTTAATAAAGTCTCAGCCTCTATAGGAGTGCGGATGGGCGGGAGGGAGGCAAGAGAGATAAGGTTCACGGCTGGGGTCCTGCTCATCTCCTCTGAGGCGAGGGCGGAGGGGAGCCTTGTGGCCAAATGGGGCGGGGGTCCGCATCCCGGGCGAAATGTAATCCAACTTTCCCTGACGCACCTCGCAGCATCAAAGAGGGGTGTTTCCGCCTCGCCTTTTACCACTTCCTCCCAGGGATCTCTCCACCTCTCCAACGCAAACTCTATACCAGTGCTCTTTGGGATGTTTTTGTGCAGGGGGTGTGATCTCCCCTATAAAGGAACCCCTACTCTCAGCTTTTCCCTTTTGGTCAGTGGAACCTGTGACCAGTGATTCCTTCCTGTCCTTTTCTCCCGGAAAGTGGTTCAGGGGGCACTGGAGCCTGATCCCGGACCCCTGCTTGGGGTGCAGGTCGTTCCTTTGGAGTAGGACCATAAATACAGACACAAAACCCCGCCTCCACCCCGCAATCCAGCACCTCTAGGATTATTCCAGCTCAACTGCTGGGGCATTTGGGAGGGCGTTCAGTCTCACAGGACCCAGCAAAGCAAATGTCAGTGATTTAGAACCCCAGTTTTAGCTTTTGAGACTGAGCTCTCTGCCAGAACACAGAAATAGCTCCGAGACAGGGTACACTAGGCCTCCTCCTGAGGGATCAGGTTTATGAATAGGGGGTGTAGGATTGGGTGGGGAGTTAAAACTGACGTATCTAGAGACTTCAGTCAGGGGCTGGGGATAACTTCTGCCCTTCTCTATTCAACAGAGCCCACTCCTTTAATCTTGCCATAGCTCAGCTACCTATGTATAAAATCTTAATCTCCCTCCTCTTTCTTCCTATCTTCTATATTTTACCCACTTGAAAAGTTCTACTGTCCCACAGGTGCTTTTCATTTTTAATTGAAGTGTACCAGACATATGGGAGTGTGCTTCAGTGTTCATATTAACAGGCTATAGCCAGGCGTGGTGGTACACACCTGTAATCCCAACACTCAGGAGGCCGAGGCAGGAGGATTGCTATGGTTCGAGGCCAGCCTGGACTACAAAAAGTTCAACACCAGCCTGGACTACAAAAAGCCAACAAACAAACAAACAAACAGATTAACAGGTTATAACACAGTGAACAAACCCATGTAGCCACCGTCCAGATCAAGATAGATCATTATCAGCACCCCAAAAGCCCTCCTAGCTCTTCCTGTCTCTACCTCATCCCCATTCCCAAAGATGACCTTTGTATAACACCATAGAGGGGTTTTGTCTTCCTGCTTTATGAATTTTATATAAATGAAATGATTCAGTATGTATTATTTCATGTCTGGTTTCTTTTACTCAATATTATATTTGTGAAACTCATCCATAATGTGTGGTAGCAGTTCATTCATTTTTCCATTATTGCATACTATGCCATTAAGTGGATATACCACAATTTATTTGTTGTTCTTTTGACAGGCATTTGGGTTGTTCCCAACTTGGGGTTGTCACATGAAGTGTGTGCAGCTACTGTAACATTGTTTTTTTCTTTTTTTTTTTTTGTTTTGAGACAGGGTCTTACTACATAGTTCAGGCTGGCTTTGAACTCACAGCAATCCTCTTGCCTCAGCCTCCTGAATGCTGGGATTACAGGTGTGTGCCACCATACGGACCTTTTAATTTATGTGTGTGTGTGTGTGTGTGTGTGTGTGTGTATAACATTTTTACTCCTGCCTTTTGGTGCACTGTTTTTTAAGTACTGAGGATTGAACCCAGAACCTTTCAACTGAGCTATTTCCTCAGCTGTTTTTATTTTTTTGTTTGTTTGTTTTTGTTTTTCTTCTGGTACTGGGAATCAAACTCATGACCTTGGGCTTGCCAGGCAAGTGCTGTGCCACTGAGCTAAATCCCCAGCCCCTGTTTTTATTTTTTATTTTGAGACAGGGTCTTGCTAAATTGCCCAGGCTGGACTAGAACTGGGGATCTTCCCACCTCATCCTGCCTGGTTTATACTTCTATTGGAAATATACGTGGGACTCTGAGTGTGGTGGTGCATGCCTGTAATTCCAGCACCTGGGAGGCTGGGGCAGGAGATTACTGTGAATTTGAGGCCAGCCTATGCTGAATAGTGAATTCAAGGCCAGGTAGCGAGACCTTGTCTCTGAAACAAAGACAAAATAAAAAAATAAAAGGTAACTACCTGTGGGAACAGAATGACTAGGTCATAGTGTAGGCAAATGTTTATCTGTGGTAAATGTCATTAAACAATTTTCCAGTGTGCTTGCATTAATTTACACCCTCGCCAGCAGAGTCTTAGAGCTCCAGTTGCTTCATATCCTTATCAACACTCAGTGCCTTGTATTATCATTCTGAAAGAGTAAAAATTGAGCCATTGTAGTGGATGCATAGTAGTAGTTCATTGTGGTTGAGCACATTTTCATATGTTTGTTTGCTGCTCTATTTAAATATTGTGTCAAGTTTCTCTTAGACTTTCTGTCTTACTGCTTTGTGGTAGTTCTTTATATATTTCAGATAGTTCTTTGTAAATTACAGGTATTACAAACATTTCTGTGAGTGTATAAATGTGGAAAATCTTTTTCCTTTTGTTTTTTTTGAGACAAGGTCTTGCTATGCAGTTCAGGCTAGTCTTGAACTCATTTTGTAGCCCAGGCTGGCCTTGAACTTGCAATTTTGTTTCAGCCTCCCCAGTGCTGGGATTGCAGACATGTACCACCATGCCTGGCTCTAATCTGTATATTTTGATCACTGGTGTGTCCCTGGCTCCTGACACATAGTGGGTGCTTAGTAAATGTGTTAAATGAATGATGAATGAGATAAATGAGACTCATGTAGGTAGTATGTCCTATGTTGTGTTGATCCCTAGAGTCAAACACCAAGAGGTTCTGGAGGAAGCAGATTTCCTTCTGGCTGACTCAGCTGTAACCTTGGGAAGTGGAAGGCATCCCAGTCTTTTTCTACTGAGAGAGTAGAAATAGCTACAGTTTGAACAGAACAGCACAGATGTGGGGAGCAGAGGTCACAGATAAAAAGAGGAACCAGCAGCAGGTATTAGGCAGCCTGACATTTCAGAAGGAAGGTCTTGGGTGGGGGTGTCTAGGTCTGTGAGCATCGTGTGCACCTGTGTATGACAAGAACATCCAATGGTCTCGTGGTCCTCATCCTGCCTCAAGAGATGTCCCACACTTAAAGTTCCTTAGCTGGAGCTCTTCGACACTTAGAAACGTTTCCCTTTTTTGGGGTCCTCCTGATACTTTGGTCACAAGGTCTTGTTTCTACCTTTCACTGGGACACGATTTTTCTTTTTTTCTCCAGATGTAGTTAAATTTCTCCTAGCCTGTAGTGTCCATCCTGAAGATGCAAGGCCATGAGATCACTGTCAGTATCTTCTCCGTGAAGACTCTGCATGGGTCTGTTGCATTCTATAGCACCTTTTGCTTGTTGTCTTTCTGTGTGGTGTCCTCTCTCCCTGCTTCAGTTCTAGTGCTGAGAACAGGTTGGATCAGGAGTCTCTGGCTTATTCTCATTGCTATGGGGGAGAGATTTCCCTCTTGCAACACTCTATCAAACTCACAGCATCCTCTCCCCTGGTCTTCCAGAAGGCAGTGTGGCATTTACTCAGAGGCTAACCATTGCTCTGTAAATTTCTAAATAAAATGAGGTTGGGCTAGCAGTCTAGTTGGAGAAAAGCTGGATGACTTGTTATCAGGTGATGTTTGAATAGCAAGTCCAGAATTTTCATTTAGAATATCAATCTTTTGCAGTTGGGAAGGTGATTGTGCGTAAAGGAGAACTGTTGATCATTACCCGGGGCCTTGAGGGGCTGATGAGGGGAGGGCTTCCAGGAGCAGTCTTCTTCAGTCTTCCTTAACACTGTCCTGATACATGGCACATTTAACATCTATCTTGAGGTTCTCTGGTGCCATGGCCTTCCCTTCTTCAAGGACAGCTGCTCTGCACCAAGGACTTCTCCAGGGATGACCTAAAGCTCCATAAAATTCCAGAGCCGCACAGACCCTAGGCATCCTCACTAGCATTGTGGAGTCACAAGACTAGTGCGATATGGCTGGAAACTTTTCTGCCTTTTGTTTTCCTAGGAAAAGTACCCCCTCCCATTTTTCCCCTTGCTGTAACCCCTCCCCTGCAATGTCCCTCCCGGAGGTCAACTTCTTTCCGCTGCCCAGAGTGAGGTGATATCCCCTTCTGGCTTTGTTCGGTTCTAGGAGGATGTAGTGATGTGTGTGTGTGGGGGGTGACAGGGAAGTGCGATCATCTAGGCTAGGAGCTAGTTGCTGTCATCATCCCCTTGGCTTCCCTCTCACTGAGCTCCTGTTTCCCAGTGCTCCCTGCACACCCACCCTGGGATTCCTGTAGGCAAGGTGATTCCAGGTATTTTGGAGCTATAGTTCTTAAATTACTGAGTAGTGCTGGGAAGATTTAGCAGCAAGTAAGGAATCTGGCGAATTGTAACCTGGGATAGAGAAGTAATCTTTGAGAGGCAGTGCTGCAAGTGGAATGTGTCACAGCTGTATAATCACAGAGCTGAATTCATGCTCAGCCATGTATTAGGTATGTGACCTTGGGCGAGCTTTGGTCTCTGATGTCTCAGAACTACGTTTATAAAGGGGAGATATAAAAAAATAAAGGGGAGATATTTATAAAGGGGAGATATAAAAAAATAAAATATCCCTTTTAGAAATGCTGGGAGGATTAGTGGTAAAATAACACTGTACACAGTAGGACTATTGTGACTTCGCCAAAGAGGAACAGCCACAACAGGGCTTAGGCATCTGAAGGGGCAGCTCCGGCTTGAGTGTGGTCAGGCCTAACTGGAAGGGGTTAAAGAAGGACAGTCTCAGCAGTGAATGCGGGTGGGAAGTTAATCAGGACAGCATCTCTGCAGTGGGTCACAAGCTGAAGATGAGTAAGCTTTATCTTGCGAGAGCCAGGATGCAAGAAGACTGTATCTTACCAACCAGATTATCTAGTTTCAAACTACTCTCTCTATTGCCCTTTGATTATTTTCTATTCTGGGGTTTCCTAAACCAGCCTGGAACTAGGAATCACCTGTGGGCACTTCATTTAAAGTATAGATTTCCAGGTCTCTTTCCTGGAAATTCTGTTTCCAAAAGTCTGATGTTGTGCCAGAAAATCTATCCTTTTTTATTGTATGAAAAAACAAGTGTACACCTATAATCCCAGCACTCAGGAGGCTGAAGCAGGAGGATTGACGCAAGTTCGAGGCCAGCTTGGGCTAGAGAGAGAACTTGTCTCAAAAAAAATTCATAATCAAATAGTAAGAGAGTAAAA